AAAAAAAAANATGTGTAGAGATTAGTGACCGTTAATCGATAGTTATTCAGATATCGTGAGATGCGGTCGGGTGTGATGTATGCACTCTCAACACGACACGCAAGGATGGCACAATTACACAGAAGACAAACTCTTTGTGCCCTGAAGATGATCTCAATAAAGATCGAAACGTTGGCACGATAAAGAAAATGTTTTTCTGAAACCTACATCGCACCCGACCGCATCTCACGATATCTGAATAACCATTGAAAAATCCTTCATCCTTGTTTAGGATAAATGATTAAGTGTGTTTACATCTAATTGATATTCCCAATTTGAAACATAGCTCAAATGAAGGGCAGAATATTCTTTTATCGAGAAAACGAAAAAAAAAAGTTGGGTGGAATTTTTTGCTTCTAATCATCACAAAACGATACTTGTAAATCACACAAGAACCTGTTGTTCTTCTATTTATTCCATTTAAGCTCACTTTTCTTAGATAAGTACGCTTGCTCCTTTAATTTACTTTTCATGTAATTCTTTAGTTATTCTCACTCCATCTAAAAACCTTAATTTTATTTTTCAAATTTGAGAGTCGAAGATGCTGTCTTTCTTTTGAAACGCCATTGTTATTTTTATACTTTATACTTTCTTCTTCTTTTTTGTTTGTTTGTAGTTTACTAGTTTTTTTGTTAATAATCCCATTTTACTGTAGCAAGTCCTATAAATGTGCTATTAGAGGGAATAAATTTCAAAAATGCTTTTAGTATGGCACTTTCCTTAAAATAGACTTCTTTTTTCTATCTCCAATCTTTCACCTTTACAACCTGAAACTTCGGATTCGGTGATACATCAAGCTTAAGCATAGACACATTTAGCTTAACATATACATATACATAGTTTACACTACAAATCGTAAAGCTTGTCACATGACTATTTATCCATCAATTCAAATTCTCCAGTGAATATTCTAAGATATATTAGGCTATATCTGGACATAAAGCCTGTCTGTTCTCCAAATGGACAAATCAATCGAACAACATCAGAAAGAAAATTCTGAATGAAACTACTTGTCAAAAACATTACCTAATAAAATATTATTATTTTGAGCAATTTTGATGCTAATCTTGTTCAAAAATAAAAATTAACATTTAGCATCAACTAATCTTTATGTAAGGTATTGCTTGTGATAAAAAAGTCAGTGTCACGAGCGGGATTCGAACCCACGACCTTCGGCTTAATACGCCGCTGCTCTATCACTTAAGCCGTAATGCCAGCGGCGTATTGAGCCGAAGGTTATGGGTTCGAATCCCGCTCGTGACACTGACTTTTTCATCTCAACCAATACCTGACATAAAGATTAATTAATTGAAAGATATTATTTAGTCAATCGTACCAAGGCCAAATTAATGGATTTTGCATTAAGTTAATAGTTAAATTTATATACTCGTTATTTTCTTTTAAAACAATTTTGTAGGCTTCTCTAACCATTTCTAATGGACAGTTTTAGCCAAAAGCTTTGGAAAAACTGAGAAACATACTTACAAAATTTTGAAAAGAAAAAATCAATACAAGAAAAACAAAACTGGGGCAATTTTAATAATAGTGGAATTATGTAGTAAACAATACGTCTAATGTAAGAAGGGCAGGAAAAACCTCTCGGATTAATGGAAAACAGTCCCGACAAAAGGGAAGAACCTAAGAAAGCCTTTTGTGAAGAAGATAATTAAATTGAAATAAAAGTTGGTTCAGAAAGAACCTGCGAAGGGTGGAGGGGTGAGCCAGTAAGCACTCCACTCAAGCTTGTTATTAACACAATCTACTGGCAAGCCAGACGGGCTTGTTTGAGGCTAAGTCCTATCCGAGATAAAGTGAACAAGGCGATTGTAAAATTGGTTCTTCCTTCAAACAGATTTTGAAGTATTTCTTTTAAAAAATTATACGTTTAGTGAAAATATTTAAACACATGTTTATTAAAATTTTCCATTGCCAATAACTACTATCTCTTTAGTTAAAATATAAATTTGTAATTTCCAAAATTTTTTAAAATTATATAGATTTTATATAAAATTTGATATATTTGCTTAACTGAATTCTATTTTCCCCCATATGGGCAAAATGACTATTGATCAATACATTCCAGTAACAATATGTCAAGAAATGTTTGATTTTCCCCTTTTCAGTTTTATACAAGGCCTAGATTGTATATTATTTTGTACCAAGCCGAAACGATATATGTTCAATTGTCAATTCCGTTTAGAAACGATGAAAAAAAAATTTCCGACCCGGTGTTGCGCGATAAAAGACATACGTGATTTATCTGACGATGATTTGTTTACAACTGGGCACAATAAATGAAGTTTTCATCGAAGTTCCAGGTGTTTAGTGACCCCTGGAGGGACGTGGCATTGATTATCACGTTATCTGATCAAGGGGAGGCAGGAACGCCTCGTTTTCGATTCACGTCTAAATCTCACGCGGAAAAAAATTGGAGTTAATATATTCTGATAAGGGAAATGACAAATGAGTCTGATCTACCGGAGAAAAGTTTTACGACCTGAAAAATTGTCCAATTATTTACCCGATCTATAAAAACAACAAAAAATCCATTGACGGATTCGTCACAGTATTTTGTGAATCTATTGTAACGGTATAACAAAATGCGTTTTTAGTCTATTTCGTACACGGCCTCTCTCATTTTATCTCTCTCTCACTGACTCACTATCTTTTCTTTTTTTCTATATGAGTATTGCGTGCCTGGGTTCGTTCTTAGACGTAGCACAGGCCTTCGACAGGGTCTGGCATCCAGGCAAACTTTTTTAACTTAAGCACTTCCTACCCTCTCATTTTTTTCACCTTTTATTGAAATTCTACCTAACTGATCTCTGTCAGAGTGAGGTCCGGCAGTGAATTCTCGGAAGACAAACAGATACTTTACAGGTGTACCGCAAGGTAGTATCCTTGGTCGTATTATATATATCTTTTATACTGCTGGCCTACCAATACCCCCTAACGCTATTATCACCACCTACGCGGACGACACCGCAATTCTATCCTTTAACTCGAATCCTGACACGCAATCTTCAACATCCAGGAGCACCTTGAGCTTATGGAAGACTGGTGTAAAAAATGGAGGGCAAGACTGAAGAAAAATGCACTCCGTGTACTTGTACGCTGAAAAAGCAGTCCTCCATTGTAGATCAACAACAAAGAGGGACCAGTTTCCACTCAAGTCAAATACCTGGGAATACATCTCGACAGCAGACTGACGTGTAATCCCCACAAAAGACTTAAAAACAACTTAATACAAGGTCTACAACTAAGACTTCTAAAGCTGAAATCGACATTGACAATTTAAACAAAGCTAACATTGTACAAGACTTTTCTAAGACCAATATGGACATAGTGGAGCTGTGCTGTACTGCCAAACCAATATCCAACGCATCCAGTCCTTCCAATCGAAAATCTTTAGACATATTGTCAAAGCGTCTTATTATGTCACTAACCACAAACACATCGACATTCCTTTTGTCAACGAACTAATCCGGTACAAATTCCAAACCTTCCAAACAAACTTTTCGAACCATCTTAACCATACCGCTCGAGCTCTCTCCACCCAGACCCATCTTGAAAACCACGACGGATCAACGAAGGTCGCCTCGGGACCTAATCATGCACACTGAGCGCCAGCAATGGCTGGATCCTCAAATCATGTGTTCTAGCTGGTGCTAGTGTTTTGCTGTGTGATATATTAATCATGTGTGCATATTTCTATAGTATACTATCATGTTTAGGTAACAAATTAATTCAAAATTTTTTTTTGTATTTGTCTTATTAATTTTTAATAATAAATTTTTATTATAATTTTGTTGAAAATATATTTTTCTATATTATACACAATGTATTTACTGTATACTTATTCATACTATTTTACCTCCACTTTGGTCTCTTTCATTCTCTCACACTTCTTTTCGTTTTTATCTCTGTCGCTCTATCTCACTCTTAATATTATTTCTTTCCCCATGCCTTTATAAAAAATATTACTTTTCCAATTTTTACTGTCACAATTACGCTTACTACTAACTTATTTGTCTGTCTATCGTTTTATGTATCTGTCGGACTATCTGACTCTCCCCTTCTCACTGTATCTATCACTAGTGAGTCACTCTATCTATCACAGTCAAAGTGCACTCAATCACTATCATTTACTATCTCCTTCTTTCTTCCTATCTCTCTCTCTCTTTCTCACTCTCTNCTCTCCCTTTCACTCTCATTCTCTCTCTCTTTCTCTCTCTCTCTCCCTTACACTCTCTCTCTATCTATCTATCTATCGCTCTCTCCCTTTCATCCCCCTCTCTCTCTCCCCCTCTCACCCTCTCTCTCTCTCTCTCTCTCTCTCTCTCTCTCTCTCTCTCTCTCTCTCTCACACACACACTGTCAATCATTTCTTATCTATATAATTATTGTAATACATCAATTAACTTGTCATAGGGAGGTTTTTAATGTTGTCAACTTGCAAAATTTGAATTGTTTTGATTTATTAAGTTTCCTTTCAATTCACAATAGCTTTTTTCCGTCCATTTTTCCTCCTATATTAAACTCCCATTCGGAAAATCCGTGCTTGCCCCTCGTGCGTTGAATAAGATAGATCTTATCAATCAAAAAGCCAGTCAAAAGCTGGTTTTCCATGATTAAATTTAATGTCCCGCGGTTGATATATAGCTTCGGCTTGTTTTGAACGTGCTGTACTACTCGGATTTGAGGAGGGGTCGAAATTTCCCAAGGGCACCAGCACACCTTCTATTATACCTTCAGTCAACGCCCATACCGGGAGACAGATGTCGAGTAAACAACAAGGATAAACTTAATCCTGTATAAAGTTAAACCTAAGCCGGTCCCTTTATAAAGTTTTGATGGCTTGGAATGTCAACACAATGGAAAAACAGATCCGCGTTGCGGTTGATAATTTATATTGAAGCGGTTGACAAAAAAATAAAATAACACATTGCAAATTTTTCATCGATTTTTCCTATTTCATATGTTTTCATGATGTATAAAAACACTTTTTGAAAAATTCACCATTCTAAATTTACAAAATTGTTAGAAATTGAGACAGTATTCATCAGTACTATGTGCGATCCGGGCTGCTACGTTGAAGATGTCATGCCACGTGTAATAACAAACTGTACTACTGATCTTCTAGTCAAAATTGGTAACCAACGTGTTTTTATATTTTTATGTTACAAAAAATCACTGTCAAGGCGTTATCAATCGAAATATGCAAACAGCTATGTTCACCATAAAACAGCACCATTTTATAAATACAATGATATTAAATTATTGACAGATTCGTTTATCTAAAAACCAAACAAATTCTAAACAAGAGAAGCTGTTTTTAAACGATATTGTTTTCTAAAACACATGAACAACACAAGAAACTATATATTTTTCCAAGCATAGCAATATTTATCAAGTTTATACATCGTAGCAATTTTTAATTTTTTTATATGCTAACTGAACAATTTTATTATAGTATTTAAGAAATATAACAATTAACATAAATTAAAATCAGTAAATAACCAAGAATGCTAAAGAGGTGAGAAAAACCGACTGTAATAAAAGCCTCTTTGTAATAACAGGTCGAAATTTTTATAAATTTGTTTTAGTGATTTTTCAGGTGAACTCAATTGAATTTCTGAACATAAAATCTATCTATCTATCCATCTATCTAACTTTCTGTCTGTCTATCTATCTTTCTTTCTATCTACCTACCTATTTTCATAACTACCTACGTACATACCTACCTACCTATTTTCATAACTACCTACGTACCTACCTACCTACCTATTTTCATATTTATCTACGTACATACCTACCTACCTATTTTCATAACTACCTACCTACCTATTTTCATAACTACCTACCTACATACATACATAACTACCTATATACATACATAACTACCTACCTACATACCTACCTACCTACCTATTTTCATAACTACCTACGTACATTCCTACCTACCTACCTACCTATTGTCATAACTACCTACCTACATACATACATAACTACCTACATACATACATAACTACCTACCTACATACTTACCTACCTACCTATTTTCATAACTACCTACCTACATACCTACCTATCTACCTACTAACCTACCTACCAACCTACCTACCTACCTACATACCTATCTACCTACCTACTAACCTATCTACCAACCTATCTACCTATATACATACCTACCTATCTACCCACCTATCTATCTATCTATATCTCCGTACTTCTTTCTCTATCTTTCTATCTAAAAGTTTATCTTCCTATCTTTTCATTCATTCACTTCCTAATTTACTTCTCCATTTCAATTCTCTTCTCCCTTCTTTTTCCTATTATTTGTTCTTTTTTTCTGTGCTCGTCAACGTTTTAAATTCTTACCATATTCTATTGTTCTGCCATGTTTATTAGTTGTTAATTGGCATATATCAGAAAATATTTTAATTTAAATCGGATCGTATCCTAAATGAAAATATAATAGACGGTGTAATTAAATAAACATAAACGTACAGTGCACAAACCATTTTATTTTTATTTTATATGAATCAAAATATTTATTACCGGCTAAGTACAACTAAAATGATCTTTAAAATTATGTTACAAGTGGCTTATAACCAATGTTTTCAAAGGGACTAAACAAATTGAATATATAAATAAGCATACGTTACGATAATGTTTTTTTATTCACATCGTAAACTTTTCAATTTGTCTGAGAGCGTTGGATTCTAACACGCTTACAGCAATACATCATTTTTCACGTCATAGGAGTCAACATGACTGATAGTGGGCAGCGATAATAACGCAAGCTTGCGAATTCCGAGCAATTTCACTATATTCAGAAATACTGGGTGTATCTCAGATGTTAAGTTTTAGACAATGTGTTATGTTTTATTAGTAATTTTGTCTTTTCTGAAACTCTCACGTGGGCAAGAAAGTAGACGAATTAATACTAAGAAAAATTACACCCATCTTCATAATATATTTTTCAAAAAGTTAAGTTAATTTTATATGATAGAATGTTCGTAGAAAAGTAAGATATATAGAAAGTTAGATAGGGTTTGGACAGAATAGGTAGGTAAGTTGTTAGTGATAGATAGACAGGTAGCAAAGAAGTTAGCAATGTTAAATATAACTAATAATAGTTGGTAGGTTCATAGGAAGGAAGCAAAGACGATAGTTAAGTACAATTAAGTTAGTAAAGTAGATTAGATAGATCGATACATAAAGATGTATGGTCGTTGATTGTTTAGTTAATTAATAGGTAGGGTGATTCAATGAATACGTAAATACGAATATAAGTACGTAAGGAGTTGTGTAAGCAGATAAATAGATTATTATAGTTGTAGATATGACAATAGGTAGGTCAATACTTCGATGGCCTAGGGTGACAGGCAGGGTCGTAGGTTCGTGGCTATATTTAGTTGAGAAGAGCAAGTCATGTAGATACACAAATAAAATAGATTGGTAGTTTGTTTCATAAATAGGTAAATAGGTAAAAAAGTCCTAGCAGGACAGTTGGGTAGGCTGCTGAGTCGATGGGTATTATTCGGCAGGTACTAACTACTTTTGCTTGACAAAGTAGGAAAGAAATTTAGGAAAATAAATATATAAGTAATGGTAAGTTTATTATTTAAAACATTTTAAAATCAGACATGGTCTGCAACCGAGAAGAACTTTCCAGGGGGAAAAGATCTTGTGACAGTATGTTTTGGCATCAGTGGCCTCACATCGTCGTCTTAGTTTAAAGTTTAAATGTTGAAAAATTGACATTTTCTTGGTGAAATTACATACATTAGCCGAGCCAAAATATGTAGATGAATTTATTTTTACAATAAAACTAGAATAAATTAAAGGGTCGACTGTGGGTATCGAACCCACGACTGCAGGGTTTACAAGCCGGGAGTCTGACGCTCCAACATTCGCTGACCATAGTCTTTTTTTATATTTGATCTCGCATTTTATTAATAATTATTTCTTTTTCTTTGATATTCACCTTGTCATGAACTACGAACAAATTGGTTACAAGATAAATAATAAAGTAACACGAAATTGATGTTTAGTCGGCAGATTAAACAACCTAATTTTCATTAAATAAATTCATTTCCATTAGGTTTCAACAGCTTTATAATTTTTACTACTACTTATTTATTATATAATAAAATAAATTATTTCTGGAAACCTTATGTTTGTCAGATGGCCGTCTTATTGGTAACGACATAAGAAGGATATCACTTTTAGCATAAAGCGGCCCATAGACGATCAATATTATTGCGCAATATTTTGGATTGTGCAATTTAATTGATCGTGTGTAGACGATATTGAAAGTTTGTGCAATGCATTGACGAAAAGTTGAAAATATATTGTACAACCTGGAAAATATTGCACCGTCTGTTGGCATAATTGCGCAATATCAGTCAGTTTGTGAAGTATCAACAAGTGGTGCAGTTCGCATGCTCGTGGTTGCACAAAATATTGCACAAACTTCAATATCGCCTTCAAACAAAATTTTGTACAATATTATTTGAACGTTAAGGGACAACCGTCAAATTATTGCGCAATCTATATTGTACAATAATATTGACCGTTTATGGGCCGCTTTAGAAAGTAATACAAACAAAAAATTATTTATATTGAAAAAGCTTTGATCAAATACAAAAGGAGAAGAAGAATAACACGTTTTTTTTTCAGTATTCGGTTATGGCACGGGATGGTTTTTTGCTAAAATGTTCACTTCTCGTAAGTACTCTGATATTTATTTTATATTATTTTTTGTATCAATTAAAATAGATACGTACACGTATATGAAATTATCTTAATATACATTTTATATATTGAAATAACCATAAAAATTATTATGTATTTGGAAATCTGGACTGGTGTGACGGAGTTTTAGAAAAACATTTTTTTAATCGTTTCATCGTTTCGATCTTTATATTGTTGTGTGTCGTGTTGAGAGTGGCAGTGAGATATTCCTATTCCGATATTTTATAACCTTAAAAATTGATTATTGACTCTGGTATTGATGCTGTTTCCTTCGATACTAATTGTTTGACAATCTTTTATTATAAAATGAAAACAAAATTGGATTAGGGATAAAGATAAAGATGGGAATAAGAGAGGCGGCCAAGAGGCCTAATGCACCTCGACCTGAATAGATTTTTTTTGCTCCCCTGTTTTTTTACAACTCACTGGCCAGTTTCAGGTTGTTAGTCAGTCTCCATAGCTTTGCCAGCGCTCCTTAAACGAAGAATCTTCTTGATTGCAGTTTTTCTCGTCCTAGTTGCAAGAACCTGCACCTACATAGACCTTCACAGAAACATAGAATGTTTTCTGCAATCTCCAACTTTTTCTGTCAGTATCTGCATAGAGTGGTTCTTCTGTATGTACCCCTATCCAGTGCATGTGCTTTCTTAAGTGGGAAGGAATCGACCCTGAGTAGCCATATCCCACTAAATGACGGACTACGGTGACAATGGGTGGTACAGTGTGGAAAAAGCGAGGGGTGCAGCCTGAAAAGTCGAGCTTCGTGTGCTTGTTCACTTCCTTTCCTCAATCCAGGTACTTGGGCATTTATCCTTGAGACCTCTCCCAACCCGTGGATGCAAGGAGGTATCCAGGCGCAAAATAATTGCGCAGCCTTGAGGGCGTGGCAACCTCTCTGAAGCACAAGCTGGATTCGTGCTGGCCTCCGGGTCGGCAGAGGCAGGCGGGTGCTTTATCAGAGGCACACGAGGGTTAGGGTGCCAGATCCTGCCTGCATAGTAAATGGAGAGTAATAACCATCTGTACTATGAGGTAGCAGAAATGTTTCAAATTCCAGCGACTGCTACATGGGAACGTCCTCGTAATGGCTTAGTGGCGATGCTCCTGGCGGGAACTTAGAGAAGAGGCTGTTCTTCTATCTGTGACCTCCGCCCTAGCATTTGCGTATGGCCTTCGTTATAACCCCGGCCTTACGGTATACGAAGGTTCGGACCATCCACGGACCAGTTCAGGACGCTCAGACTACGCTGACGGAGCGGATCCGGAAGTTTTTACGCTGGAGGAGCCCCAATATTCTGGGAGATAGTCACCTTCTCTATCTAGGGAGTGCGTGGGAGACCAGGCTGATGCACTTCAGCCACCTTGGGTTCGACCACTAGTGATAGCCGTCTTGGCACCTCGGGGCGTGGGTTCCCACATCAACGCTTGCGGCTGTAACACCCATCCAGTCGCGAGCGAAGGTGCGCCATTTCTCATCTTGAATATCAAACCAGTAAGGCTAAAGATCCTCATTGGGCTTTTAAGGACGACCAAATATTTGGGAACCTTATGTCCGGTAAGGAGTTCAACTAGAATCCTGGTTCAGTTGCGATTGCCTTCCAGTAATTCTTTTTTAAGTTTTGCGAACGGTCCTTCACGCGCCTAAAACTTGCGGCATTGTTCCATCAGGTTTTAGTCTCATTAAAAATCGATTTTAATATGTATCCTCTTTTGTGCCCGGTTTAGAGAGTCCATGTTGACCCCCAACATGTCAACATTTTCGTTGCATCTATGCTCAGAGTGCCCAGTCATTAGTGTTGCTGACTTCCGTCAGGGCCTCCATACAGTTCCGAACACTCTGCCTTCGCCTCGCATGAGGGACTTAGTGCTGCCTGACTGTCAAACAAAATGGCTACCGCCCGGCATATATTCCTAACCTTTTTATTTCTCTGGCATATTGTTCAATCGCTCGTTCAAAATTGGCTTATAAAAGGTAAATGTAGATAGTGCACTTAATCCTATAAAACTAAACTCTTTCCTTTTTATCTTCTTACTCAATTCTGTTGGTGTGACTGTGTTTGTAGATTTTGGAATAAATTTTGTTTTTAGCCGCCATATACGACCAGGAGTCTGAACGTCGTGGTGTATAACCAACGACAATCCTTTTATTTTTCTCTTACCTTAATTTTTATTAGAGCATCAAATAGATATATGTATGATAACACGCACGGCCTCATCAGATGTGCTGATTTTGCAAAATTAAAACTTATACTGAAATAGTTAATTTTATTTGTTTAAAAAATCCAAGTATTTTAGTTAAAATTTTTTGTTGGTTTCGTGAGGAGCGGTCAAGAATGAGATAGTTTAGAAAAACATTTTCATTTTTTTTTGCCGACATTTCGACCTTTATTTGGGTCATCTTCAGGACATTAAGTGTGGTGCTATTCTTGTGGTGCCATATTGGTGTACCTTTATTATTGGAACTTAAAATTTACTTAAAACCTAAATTTATTAAGGTTTTTATTTGAGATAAAAAAGTCAGTGTCACGAGCGGATTCGAACCCACGTTCTTCGGTTAGATACGCCGCTGCTCTACCATTTGTAATGGATCTCTCTCAAACAAAAAAAAAACTCCAAACCTTCCTCACTCATCCCCTCTCTCAGATATCCTTCCCGCGCTCTTCAAAAAGCCCTCCTCGTATTCCCTATTTACGTGGCTTGTTTGTTATAAATATTCCCTCCAGTAGAGGAAAAAAAATCTTTCACTTTGGTCATGTTAAGTAATTAAATGGTTTTAAACTGCGTTTACAATGTTATTCAGACTTTCCGTCGTTCATATCCTTCAAGAACGAAGACGTTGACGTCGTTTTGGACTGCAGACGAGTGAAAGACCTCACGGAAGACGAGTTCGAGAAGGTGGTTGACTTAATGAGACTCAACATGAAAGTCTACTACGAGAAATGTGACTGGGGCTGGGACGAAGAGAAGAAGAGAGAAGAGTTGTTGGAGAGTCCTGCGAGGTACCTTCTGGCCAGGGTGCAGTGGTCGACACCACTCGCATACTCGTCTTCTCACATTTCAGGTTCGACTTAGATTACAAGCAGAGCGTACTGTACCTATACGAGCTCCAGCTGGATCCTGCGGTGCACAGGAAAAAGCTCGGACAGTTCATGCTCAAGGCGCTTGAATTGATGGCTTTTAAAAACTCCATGCAGAAGGTCATCTTGACGGTCCTCAAACACAACCACGCTCTGCTACCACTATTTGTAATGGATCTCTCTCAAACAAAAAAAAAATTCCAAACCTTCCTCACTCATCCCCTCTCTCAGATATCCTTCCCGCGCTCTTCAAAAAGCTCGCCTCGTATTCCCTATTTACGTGGCTTGTTTGTTATACACTTGAGCTACTTCATTTCAACTTATTAAATTCACTAGTTTTTTTGGTCCGCTTGACCAATTAATATCATTCAATTAATTAAGGTTTTTAGTTGAGAAGAAAGTCAAAATGTGTGGTTGAGATGGGAAGTTAGTGTCCGAATGGATCGAAGTCATGACAGCTCAGGTGGTAGAGCAGGGGCGTATCAAGCCGAAGGTCGTGGGTTCGAATCTCGCGCATGACACTGACATTTTTATCTCAAATAAAAACCTTAAGTAATTGAAAGATAATTGGTTTAGACAACGAAAACTAGTGAATTACTTAAAACGTTGATATTGATCAAATTTGCGAGCTTCTACTTAAAATAAAATCATGAAATTGTATTTTAAGGAATAATAATTTTTTTCGACCACGGTTATTTGTAATAACAGAAAGAACCATTTGGTCCATTTCAGCCACCTAATCGCCTCAGCGAGAAATAGGCCTAAGTCCAATTTCCAACCCTTTGTGAGAAACTAATGGAAAAATGGACATAATATTATCCGGACAATATTCCCTTCTCAAAAAGGGGAACAACAATGGTTGTGTTAATGCTCAAGAGAATGGGAGAAAAGAACAAAGGACATATATTGCCGTTTTATTCGGTCGGGAATCCGATTAGGAACCGATTGAAGAAATTCAGAAGACGCAACAGTAAAATCCCGACAAGGATCCCGTTATAAAATTGAGTGGAAAAAACACATTTCGGCTTTCTTATCCGCTTTTCTTTCAAAAGGGCTTCCTTTTATTTAGATGCCGTTCTCAATAGAAATAGAAAAATCCAAATACCTTTTGTATTTTTGATTTTGATTCCAGGAAATAAAATTACGTGTAAGAATAGGACGTGGCCTATGATAATAGGACTCGGAATCGGAGCTGGCATGGCCTCCGAAAACTGCAAAAGAGAAATGACCACTTTATTATCACAAAAACCCACTGTAAAGGTCGAGAGGCCACAACCAACCGATTTAAAAAAGGTAAAATATTAAATTATGTTACCAGTATTATTTAAATAACAGCTCTTATTTTCATTTTTTTTAGAAATTATGTTTGTAACCTGTTTTATTCGGTAATGGCTTAATCGATAGTGTCAGTATAGTACACTGTTTTACCATGAAGAGTCTATATTTTTAACAATAAAGCATAATTTTTTAAATAAATATATTTTTTTAATTTTGTTTACTTTATTATTTATTTTTTTGTGTTTATAACTTTAAACGTCATATTTTACCCTCGCGTTCTGAGTGTATTTAAACAAAAAAATAAAATTTGGACGTACATTCTGTCCGATTTCCCGGCAGCCGAGATTCTAAGTTCCAGTCTTTGATTTAACAATTAATTAATGTTTATGTAAAGTTTTTAGTTGAGATAAATAAGTCAGTGTCACGAGCGGGATTCGAACCCACGACCTTCGGCTTAATACGCCGCTCTACCACTTGAGCTATGGTGACTTGGAAGGTCGTGGGTTCGAATCCCGCTCGTGACACTGACTTATTTATCTCAAGCAATACCTTACATAAAGATTAATTAATTGGAAAAAGTTATTTGCTCAATCGGATCTCGAACTCTAATGACTTTGAT